GCCACAACCCAAAGAGTTCCCAAGACTAATACCCCAAAATTCCGAGACTACATTAAAAGTTAAAACTCCCAAAGACTACGCAAGAAATTCAAGGTTACTTTAGAATTCACCTCTGAATTTACGGACCTGAGAATTCCCCAACAAGAACTCCCAACGCTTTTTATAGGCTTTTATAAATTTTACAGGTGTAGTAAGCTATTTCCTTGATTATTAGTCATCTCGATTAGTGAAAAAGATGATTATCCTTAAATAGAAAAATTTTATCTTAATTATGCACTTAAAAATTTAAAAATACCACAACTATAACTTCATCAATGTTTTGTTTGATTCGGATTCCTGGTGCCTCAAAACGTGTATTTCCGTCAAAAAAGTGGGGAGGGGGGTCATTTTTTAACCCAATGCAATACCTCCCTTACTGACGTGCGGGTACTAAAAATGAGAGTAAGAAAAAGAAACATGTGTATAAAGTATTTTGGATTTGTCTCCAAATACAAATTTGACCTCGAACTAGACCTACTGTGTTTACGTACTTATGGTGTAACAGTCCACAAAACTTGGCATTGATAAATAAACATTATTTACAATGGAAATGAATAATTTAAATGAAACTCACACGTAAATAATTAAAATACACATAGTAAATAATCTACAAACTAAAATAAACATCGCTATGCTCGGTTAACTGTTTTTTTTCTTGTTATTTGTATTGTTGTGTAAACAACGTGAATAGGTACCAAAAATAATGACTGGACTATCTGTGTATGAGATTATTTCAATTTATTAAGTAAATCAGTGGGTTTATTTACGAAATTTAAGCAATAAGTTGGTTCGTTTCGAGGTTCGTTTCATTTGAATTTGTATCTCAATGTTGTTTCCCCTTTTCGATATTTTGTCAATGCGTAATTCTTGTTTAAATTTTGTCGCTTTTGTAATTTATTCAATTTAGATAAGGTGTTACAAGTTAGACACATCTGTTCGTTTGTGATAAGGAGTTTTATCAGGCAACAATTAATTAATGCACGTGCTTTATCGCGATTAAGATATCAGGTGGGGCCCGTTCCGTCGTTGATTGGATTGGAAATTTGTTAGACTTTATTTTATGGTGGAAGTGGATTAAATACTGGAGACAACAAGTAAACGCGGCTGCTGCTCTTAGTTTTTGGCGACGGTTAAAGAGCGTGTAAATTTGTTTACGCTAAATCTCGAGTAATCAGCCCACTTGTGTTTTGTTGAGGACGCAGTTCGTCCTTTTTTATAATTATTCTGTGCAGAAGCAAGTTAACCAAAGTTGTGCGCGTGTTGTTCGTTTCTTCCGTCTAAATAGCCACCGAAAATTGAGTCATTTAATTCAACAAGCCAGATACAAAATCTCAAGTTTAGTGTTATCAAGAACAAGTGATGTTTACTGAATCTATCAGCAAGTGTTTTTTTGTATCAGTGTTAAGTGCGCCTGAATATCGCTAACCTTGTACGACCAGATTATTTGGATTATTTAAAAAAACTGTAATTTTAAGATTTCTTATTTTATTTGTCGACCGCTTGCGTGCGGGGTAATATGCCCAAACAAGCTTATCTTTCCTTTGGGGATTTTAGTCTAATTTTTTTTGGTTCGGAATAAATTTGTGTCATTGTCAATCAATTAATTGTGTGTTTATTCGAATCCATTGTGCGACCCGGACAGAGTTTCCATGTCAGATTTTTCTATTGGTGTCCAAAATTTATTTCAGGTGTTGATCGAAATTTGTGTAAAAAATTCTTTGGAATTTTTGGAACTTGATCGATTGGAACTTAATCGTTGCATAAAATTAGGCATTCAGAAGAGTTTTTGTGATTTAAAAGTAGACCTGAGAATTCCCTATGATTTGAAGCATCCAAAGAAAAGCAAAAGGGAAAAAGAAGCGGAAATATACCTATCTCAAACGGTGAAGAGTGTAGACGTTATCTGTCTAAACCCCAAAAATAATGACGGGGTGACTGTATCTATGAAAGAACGTTTCAATGTCTGAAGTAAATCCGGTGGGTTATTTATGATTACAATTAACCACAATATTCTTTTTTGTTTTGGACTATTTGTCATTCAGCCGGTCACATGGTGGTAATTTATTTCACATTTTATAACCAGGTGGGCGCTGTTTTTTACATATTCAATATAACCAATCGATTTGCTTATATTAAGAGGTGCTACATTTTACTAGGATCGGATCGCAACTAAGAAAGTTACTTCAATTGATAATTAGTGTCACTTGATAGTGTCTTATTCCAAAAAATTGTTCGTATGGGACTGCTCAACGCTCGTGTACTAAGTAAATAGGTTGGCCCTCATCGAGGTCATCATTAATGAAACACGAAAGAATTGAAAAAAAACCTTTTTTAGATCAGTAAGAAGGTCTCTTTTTATTGTTTTTTTAACGATAATATAGGATAACCTATGACTGGAACACTGAATATGTCTTCAAAACAACATTTCATTAAAAGAAGCTTTTTATGGTATCGAAAATTATGTACTTACCTAGTTTAAGTTTGTGGTCAGTGGCGTACTCCTGCATGGCCAAAAGGGGCACTTACAAAAGAATAACGTTTTTTTTTCAACTCAATCTAGTGAAACTATTAAATTAATTAAAACAACCGTTTTCTTGAATTAGAATTTTTCTCTTAAGTTTGATTATGTACTTAATATAATCCCTTTTTTTGCTCCTATATCCAAAAAATGTAATGAAAACTATTGATTGCCATTAAAAAAAATAAGCCCCCCTTGGCCATGCAGAAGTACGCCACTGACATATCTAAGGTACGTAGATTAGTAGCAAACCCTTTTTAATTTTGGATAGGTATCATCAAAAGCAACATGTTTTGTTGTTGTTGTTTATCAGTCTTCCAGACAACATTTTCACCCTGCATAGTGATTCTCGATTTGATCATAATAACAGTAGCTATAAGGAAGATGAAACTGTTTTCAGAATAGACAAAGACCTTGCTACAGTTTATAAAAGTGTCTTATTTGGAATATTACCTTCTCCAGCTATACTTCAAAGACGGATTTGTTAATCTTTGTATTCTAATATACTTTTTTAATACATTTGTTTAAAATAATAATGACATATACCTACATATATACATGTTTTATTCTCGGTTTTATTTAATCGTCAAGTTCTGTCTATAATTGGTCATTTTGCAGCCGTTTTTTTATAATATGAAAATGTTATTTATTGTTGTTAAAAATGCTTTGTTTATTTACATAAAACCTAGTAGATCTTTTAGTGCCACAAAATCATATTAAAATCTTTATGTATTTTGCTCGGTATTTTGTATGTTTATTTTAATTTTAAAAAATCGCTGTGCATATGCGCGTCTTTACTCGATATTCTGGGCCACGGTGACAGAAAAACTGAAAATGATAGATATCTAAATGTGTAACAATAAATCGAGCAATAAATCATTTAATATTAAAGGTACCATGATTGCGAGCATGATTGTCTAGAAATGGTATATGCGGGAGGGGATTCTGGACCGAGTATTCAATTTCTTCACATCATAACAGATGGTACAATAATATTCATTAAGTTCAGATTAATTGATATTCTGTTACTGACATTTTGATCGATTAAAAAAAGGTCGTCGGACGACCGCCAGTCAGTAAACATGAGAATAAGAATAAAACAAAAATTTATTTCCAGAGGTATGTGACTGTTTCAAACTAAAGCGCCCAATAATGTTCCACGAGCCTATGATTTGGCAAATTAATGGATACAATCACTTTGGCATCGGTAGTAACTTGGCGAACACAAACTATTTATATTTTTTATTTATTTTTAGATGTAATTTTTAAGACCGTTTTGACTAACATTGTTTTTTCTTCTTTTAAGGTACATTGTAGATCACGACGATCCATCATTGGGTAAAACTTCTGTGGCACAATGGATAGTTAGAATTTTATTTTTATTACTACAACTCGCACCCCTTCTAAGATATCTGGACACGTTCATCTATGGGTTAAGAAGCCTAATTGCGAAATCGTCCGGCTCCGATAATCTTCACAGCACATTGTATAGACGGATGCTGGATGAGGACTCAAATGGTGCACTGTTAAGACTATTTCATTGTTTTCTGCACTCGGCTCCACAGGCCATCATTCAGCTAATGTTTTTAATTAATTATGCGACAAATCCTTCTACATTACATGATTTAGGTATAGGTGAGTACACAATTTAAATTATACTAAAGCCACCAATAAACTGCATTTATAAAGGGAGATTAAAAAACCAATTCCACGTTCACTTTTTCTTTCAGATGTGGCAGTTTTACAATCCTGGACAGTATTATCTTCGTTATTGTCAATTGCTTGGGCCCTAACGTCCTATCATCGTTCCGTGAGGTTCGCCAGGGACGACAAAGAAACCCTTTCAAGTATCGCTGTACTTATTGGATTTTGTTGGCATCTCATGAGTGCAGGTTGGTATATCCGTTTATAAATAAATCGACCAATTTAGGAAACTAATGGTATTAATGAACGAGTTATACCAGTTAGCATACTTTATGCCATTTCGAAACCTTGGCACCAAATTACGTCTCAATTAGTTGAAAATTATCAGTGAGAACGACATTTCACCAAGGTTTATTATGCACTAGGTGCTGTTTATTTGTGGGGCTTGTCCTATTATTCTTTAATTTTATTTGCCGCCAAATCTCTGAATTTATTGTTTTGCGTTGTGATTTGTGCCTCATTTTATGAAGGTGAAAATTTACAAAAGGAACTGCTTTATTTAAATTACTAAAAGTGGGTCAACATTGTCTAAAAATAATGTTGTTTTCTGTTCACATTACCTTATTTTTAGGTAGACTCACAGTTACAATGTGTTCTAAAAATAAAAATGTGTTAAAATGAATCTAATTAAGAATTAATGGCCACTACTTTAGCTCATTAAAGTGTATCTGCCGTAAAAGTTTATAGCATTGAAAGACATGTCCGTTTTTGTCAAGATCATTCCTTACCTGACTGATTGCTATGATGTAACTTAAAAAACACTTTGCTTATAATTTTAGAGCAATTTGCGGCCAAAGACTGTAAAAATGTTGATTTGCTCCAACAAATATAACCTTGAATTGTATGCCAAATAATATTTGGAACTGTCACATATTTCAACTGTAAGCTAAGTATATTTAGAGCGGAAAATTTTACCATATTTAATGTAACAGAACGAAAACGAAAAATGGTAATTGTGATGCCATGCATATTGTTTTTAAGTAACATCAACATTAAGGATCCACCAAAAAAATGAAGTTGGTATTTAAAATTATGATTTTTGCATGTGAAATTCGTTCTACAATTTTTCAAGTTCGTTGTCAAAATTCGAAATTCCGAAAACAAAGTCTTTTGTTGTGTACACCATGTGTATTGTAGTACAGTTACACAAACAAAATTTGCTGTGGCTATGAACCTATAAAAAGATATGATTGAAACTATAAAAAACCAACCAAATTTCTGTGGTCCATTTTCAGTCTATATTTTCCGGACTAGATTCCTGGTGCTTCAAAATGTGTATTTCCATAAAAAAAAGTAGAGGGGGTCATTTTTACCCCAATGCAATACCCTCCTTACTAACGTGCGGGTGGTAATAATCCATGGGATTACATTTGATTGGTTGCATAGTGAGTGTATTTCTCCCCTGATTGGATAGTGTCACGTTTCGTAACAGCAGGATCAGGATTAAGCCCGAATCCAAGAGGCTTGTGTAACAGGGCTTCTGTCTCTTTGTTATTTTAAGTTAGGTGTCCTGGCTGCCTAGATTTGGTACAGTGCACGTCAAATTTTGGCTTGTTGTGCTGTTATGTGTGTGTTGAAACTGTATTCCAACATTCCATTCCTTACTTGAACTAGTATCAATATTGTGTCTTCTTTGAGTTGAACTCGAGAACGTCCAATGGTGTGTACCTAAATACCTATACTTTCGAAATAACGGTCGCTATCCTAAAAGAGGTTTTAAAATGGATTAATTTATAACAGTAATTAGTATTTATCGCTCGAAACACAATTTGGTTTGCTTATATAGCAAACAACAATCTTTCTAGACTGTTCTCCGTCGAATGCTCCCAAACGCGTCCGAATGTTGTAGAACACGTCACATTTCCCGGAAAGAATGCGTCGCATCCGGCTTAATTTCTTTGGCCAATGACTAATCTTTCATTGCGCCTCGATGTCTATCGCAATTTCTAGAATATTCGCTACAATATATTCTTCACTGAGAAAGTTTGTTTCGTGTCGCGAAGGTCACGCAACGCCGTCGGCAAGTATGGTGTACACCAGTGGCGGGTTCCTTTTCGCTGAAATCTGTTTCATTCTCAAATAAGTTTTTATATCAATTTCGCCAATGATCTCAGGTAAAGCTGGATTCACATGAATACGAAATCCGACGATACGGTCATCCGAAATGCTTATGATTGGTCAATAGTTTGAAATGTCAAGCACATTTGAAATTATTGACCAATCATAAGCAATTCGGATGATTGTATCGTCGGATTTCGTATTCATGTGAATCCAGCTTAACACTTACAATTTCTTCCTCTAGAAAACCTTTTACATTATTGAAAGGGAGGTTTATTTTCCCAAACCCACTAAAATGTTGTAAACCACGCGGCGCCTCTGAAAGCGACGAATTACACCGCGCTTGGAATATTTAAAACTGATGGAGTACGCATTCGACCTTCAAACAATCTTTCTCCGTGAGTATTATTAAGCGAAAGTCTGATAGGATGAAATCTTTCTTATAAATTAGTAATTTCTGTCTTCTTTTCGGAAATAATGGATGGAGGTTTTCGAATTATATTGTTCAACAGTCAATACCGGTGTCTTAGTTTGGATGAAATCGAAGATGAAATTGTAGATGAGCAAAAACGGAAAAACTCACACCTCGTTTTTTTCTACAGCAGTCACACTAAAAATTCGATTTGTACATGAATTTAAAAGTTATAGTCTTTTATATCAATTTATAAATTGGCAAACGAACACAGTAAAAGCAATAGCTTACATTAAGATTATAAGAAGAATACAATTTAGCCATTCGCACGAGTGCAAAGCGATTTAGTTTAGATATTTGTGTGTAATACAGAAGATCTTATTGTTCGCCACTGACCTGTTTTTGTGAATTCTTTCAGTTGCAAGAATCTTGGCGCTGAGTCTTCTTGCTTCCATTTTTCCAACATGGATGGGAATCATCTGTGCGCTACATTGGGGCGTCATGTCTATTTGGCTAGCTCTAAGTCAACATCAAACCGCAGCTTGTAGCAACCGATGTGAGGAACTGCTGTTTTCCGCCGCGTTGGGGCTTGCCTACGTTATCGCGTTTATATCGCCACGAGATGGCCCTACAAGATACATCTATCTCGCTTATTACTTGGTGTGTTTCATGGAAAATATTGGCGCTTTAGTTGTATGGTAAGTAAATTTTCATGTAAAATTCATTTCGTTTATGTGATACTTGTAGGTGTGTGGCAAACAATTCGGAAGATAACCCACTGTTGTATTATGGAGCGGCGGGCGCTCAATTGACTGCGTTTCTTTTAGCTATATTGTTCCTATTAATTTATTATCGTTACTGTCATCCATCTACTTGTACAAAAATTTTAGAAATAACTGACATCGGTAGCGTGGATCACGATAAGCCAGGATATAGCAAGACGTATACTCATGTGAGCCAATCTCACAATTTATCAAGCTCTTGATCCTGTGTGTTTGTGTAAGCCAGGGAAGTATATTTACATTTTGCCGTTGGTAATTAAACGTAACAGCTGAATTGTACACAAGAATTTGTATTACTTTACTATTGTTAGTCGATCTCTTTGACGAATTCTTAGTAAAATACCATTTATATTGGCAAGTATGAGGTTGGAAACAGAATTGTCATCTTTTGATATAAAATTTACATTGATATCAAATTTTATAAATTTCCTTCTAGTTAGCGACTCACAAATTACAGCCTCTGTGCTGATTCAACAGTAAAATTTGCCAATTTTTAAATTGATTACGAAAACGTAGTTAGGTGGCAGGCTACACACCTACGGGACCAATTTTTTTAGGATGTACGGTAGAGGAAATAGGGCCTTGAACTTTTTAAAGCTTAAGTGGCCTTGAGTTAAGTTGTGAGTAATAAACATCGATTCATTGAAATTTAAAAGGAATATACTAACTGTTATAGAACTTTGTGCCTACTAAATGTCCCTATAAATTGAATAATCCAGATTGTTATATTTTCTCTGTTATAATATTGCTTCACTGTACACACACCTGGCAGCTTAAAAGTCTTCAATTTCGGCAACTTCAGTTAGCTGCTTTTGAGGTTGATCTATTCTGATGAGCGATTTATAGTGTGGAACAATTTAAATTGTTTGTCAATTGGGCTGCGACTCATTATTATCACTATAAGTATATGATCTTTTTTTTCACTATGGGATGGCACATACATTTCTACAAAGTATGTTTAGATTAGTGGCGTTTTTTCGTTAATTTTTTTTGTTATAACAGGTGATATTTAAAAAGGCAACTTCAAGAAAAGGTCATTATGAGTGGCGAATTTCTAATATGTATATGTATCAACACCATTTTCCATAGAAAGTGGATAGTTGGCTCAGAATCAAATTGTATGCCATCTTAATGGGCCTTGACATGGACGTTAAATATAGAACTGTTTTTTTATGGAAATTTAGCTTTAACCTTAAATATTCGACGATTCTTCATTTATGGTTGGGCGCTATTGCGTTTATACAATCTATAAATATTATTATACATATTAATTTTTTCAGTTATTATGAATTACTGCAGGCTATATAATATTGCATTGATTTTTCCATATTTTCTTTGATTAATTTCTTTCTTGGTTATTTCTTTTTTCTTCAGTTCACATGTCTAGGAATGATTGTATTTTTTACATGTGAAAGCGTTATCCAATTTATCTGGGCAAGTACTTTTCTTGTATGATGTAAAATTGTTTCACAAAGCGTTTTAAACAAAGAATAATCAACTATTAAAAATGTATATACAATGATATTCATGTTGAAGTAGACATAGGAATTTCCTACAATATTCAAATTAATAATTAATATGACAGCCAGATCTTTATTTATTTCAAGAAGTTGTTTTGGTTGCTTAACATTAGGCGTCCTTCAGAAGACTTTATCATTTGAAAGTAGACCTAGGAAATCCCTATGTCTACTACTACATGAATATCACTGTATGCATATATACATTACTAAATTACTTTAATTCAATACAAAGCGTTAATTTTTCATACATAAATGCTAAAATAAATAGTATGCTCAATTTAATTTTTTCAGTAACGTTTAAATTAAGACATAATAAGCAACTACTTTTCGTTTTAGCTCAGGAAGTATTCTTTGACAGCCAGTAACCAACTGGCTTGTGCAACTTTTTTGTTTGAACAATAAATAATGATTTGTTTAATAATTTAGCAATGGACCAATCAGAACTCAGTTTTGGGGATACTTAAGAATTTATAAATAAATCTGGATTACTCAATTTCGCACATAACTTGATTATAGTGAAACATGCAACTTCTTAACACCACTAGTACATGATTTTTTCAATGGTATTTTCATTGTTAGTGATTTAGTGTTAGCTCATGATCTATGATATGCCTTTATGAGGTCATGAGATGTTTTTGAGAATGAGAATCCTGTACTTGTAAAAATTTGTTACGTTTATACATAGTTTATAAATATTTCAGGATTTCATTCTAGGTTATACTATATTTGCTAAATTTGCATTTCCGTTGTGCTCATTGTTTTTTATTAAAGTATCAGTATTTTTGTATCTATAAATTTACGCAATATTTATAGTGTATATAATATATGTATTGACAGTTATATAGTACTATACAGAAATGCTATTTGGGCAGCAAAATTTAGTTGCAAAGTGCATCCGACTGCCAAGTGTGCCAATAATAAAATTGTCTAACGTTGCCTTACTGTGTATATAAGAAATCGTATAGTACTTAATTATATTTACACATAAGAAAATTGTAATGAAAATTTTACTCTTCCTCTTCTTCGGAAGTAGAGTAGTTGATACCATTCTTAATTTTCCTATTGTATTCATAATACTTTGTACCTTTGGAAGTTACCACTTTTTAAATATTATTAATGTACTTTACAGTACCTTACCCTTGTAATAATTTGTATACTATTCCTAATAATTAAAAATTAAATGTGCACGTTCATTAATAATATAGACAATTTCACAATATTATTTTTTAACAAAATGTTCAACTTTCATAAAGATTGTGTGTTGACTCAAATGTATCACCTTCAATTCTTTTAAACGCAACTTACAAATAGGAATGGTCTGATTCTGTAGTACAATCATGCTCAGTATTCATGCATTTTGCATATAAGGGAATTCTAGTCATTTAAAAAATAATTTCCTAAGTTTTTAAACTTAAAAGCTTGTAGTTCAAAAGAAATTCTTCTGTATGAAAGTATGTCTTAATTGTTTATTACTTGTAATGTGTTTCGTTAATTCACTTGTTACAACCTCTTACCAAAGTAATTAGATTAGTATTCTTCCTGTACTTTTGTTTCGACAATTTACCTTGACATAGTATTTTATAATTAGTATTAGCCATCGAATATATTTTTATTCAGCAATAGAAGTAAGATACATTTAAGTTCCTCGTATTTATGAATTAAGAATATTGTACTATTGTTTTATTTATATTACTTTATTTCTGGTTAATAAATTCGTTTCATTATGTCTTATGTTATATATTGAATGCACAACTAACGAGGCACACATTTTTAGAACTGGCAACAGTTTTGTAAAGAAATGAGAATGCTCTATCTAGATAGTAGTAAAACGAATTCAGATAACAAAAATGGTAAGGAATTAAAATAATTTGTTTTTAACATTCACTTTGTCTTTGTACCACTCTACGAGTAAAAATACTCGTCGATGCTGCTAAATTTTGCATATTTAGCTGGAAGGTATAATGTGTTGCCATTAAATAAACACTTTCAATGGTGCTGCCTTACGGAAGGCTTGCAATTGTTTCGGTTCTGCATACCAGGAGATAAGTTACCCAGTAGTACCCCCCCCATTATAATTCTTTACATGAACAAAAATATATTAAAGAAAAATGCGTTACCAATGCATTATAAATTATAATGAAAATCACTCAGAAAATCAGTTGCCAAACTTTTGACAACAGCCTTCTAGCCTTAGACAAGGGAAGAGACTCCTAGCCTTAGACCATATAGTACATGGACTGCTAATTGTAACGAAAATATGGTCAAGGACATCGCCTGGGTATGTGACTTTCAGGGTAAACGAATCTGTCCGAAGTTATCCGATTAGACACGATTTGAAACTGTCAACCTATAAATTAACAAACGTCAATTAATTAATCGCTTAGATATGGCAAACGAAGCAAACCTATTCTTATTTGTGGACGTATAGAAGATAATCAAGAGTATTTAAAGCTTCCCGTACTACGCCGTTACCATAAAAGCTACTCTTTACACGATCTGAGTGGTGTTCATACGACTTTAGTTTACCCTGAGATTCACATACCCACGACTACAGTGCCCTCTATCCGTGACCACCCATTTTGTATTGAAAGCATAGGGCTAATAGCAGTCCATGTATATGGTCTAAGCTCCTAGCACACACCTTTTGACAGTATTACATCCTTTGTATGTTTTTATATGACCTACTACATAATCTAAAATCTAATCCTCATCTCATTAATAGTAGCATTGAATAATAAATCTTTATTATTCAATGATAGTAGATAATAAACGTAGACTGTACCACGGGATAAAACAGAGTATAATTCCCCTCTGTTTTATTTTTTATTGATAATAGTAGAATTGCTGTTGAAAAGTAAATTAATTTGTAAATAAAAATTTCACATATCTGATTCGCGTTGTTGCGTATGGGGTTGGCTGCGACTTCCATAGTTACCTTAGAGCGGGTACACACGAGCGACAGTTGCAGCGGCGGCATCGCGGCGGCACCGCAGCGCGTTGTAGCGGACCATAGAGACTCATGAGCTTGTACACACGTGCAAGTGGCGACAGCGACACCGCATAATGCAGTCGACTGCCGCCGGGGTTTGCTTCACCGCGCGCGATGTCGCGGCGCAGTTTGCAGTCGGGCGGCCTAGCAGTACCTGTTGACATTCGGAACCATTCACACGTGCAGTCGATTGTTTCTGCAGCTCGACTACTGCGCTTTATTTTCTGTGCAATTTTGTGCGTGATTTGGTGATGGGTCCCTCTGGTTTCGACAATGACATTTTTATCGAATCAGTTAAGAAGCGTCCATGTATTTGGAATACAGCTCTTGCGGAATATCATGATAAAATTAAAAAGAGGAATGCGTGGGAGGAGGTGTGCTGTGAAATATACCCCAACTTTAAAGGACAAAATGAGAAGGACCAGAATGCTAAATAAGCCAATATAAGTGAAGAAATAGTAAGCGATTTGGGAGAACAGCTGATAGAAATTTTCACGCAGAACGATACCGCTGCGTTGTCGCGCTTCAGTTGTCGCCAGCGTTGCCAGCATCAGTACAAATGTACTGAATTCAGTACTTTTGATCAGAATTTAGTACGTCAGTACGTCATCCTTAAGATCAATACAATTTTTAACGTTCAAAACGGGAAAATTTTTGTAAACAACTGTCATAATCTACCCTGGTGGTTAGGCAGCACACATTTACATCCGAAACAAAAATATAATATGCTCTGTATATAACCAACGACCGTTTTGCGCAGATGCCGAATACTAGGGGATTTTGGTAACGAAGCGAGGGGAATGTGAAGAAGATGGCGGCGAGGTCGACGGAAGACACACGCTTTCCCGGTTTTTTATTATTCTTGATTATTTTTGGTGGTGGTGTTTTGAAGATGTATTTACAGGTAGTAACCATTTTATTCTTTCTTGTACTACATATTTAATCATTGAATTTCTTGCCACAATGTGATATTTAGATTTTGCTGATTTTGCATAAACTACGATATCTGAATCATGGCGTACTCCATGCCTTTGTTTCGTGTACCGTTAGATGAATCCTGTTTGTAATACTGTACAGATGATTATGCCATTATTTTGTTTAATTAAGTAATTTACTTCTGTTATTCATGAGGAGTTGATTATCGGTGTGATGTTGCTCTGTTCGATTGACCCGTAACAATTCCGTGAGGGAAGCACCTAATACAGTTTGATTGTTCGCTGTATCTGTTACTTTCTGTTTCGTGGCTCGCTACAGTTCTTGTGCGTTAGCTATACGAAGGGGGGCTCTTTTATTTGATGTTTCGATGTTTGTGTGTGCGAGTGGGTATTTCTGTCTCCGTGGAGTAGGTACCTAATGCAGTTAGATTTTTCGCTGTATCTGTTGCCTACTCGTCTCGTGCGGATTGTAGTTCTTAACATCTTAGCAATACGAGTGGGGGCCCTCTCATTTACATTTCCTCTATTTAAAATATGTTCTGCTTGAGCGATAATCGATTTTCACATGAATACTTGCTATTGACCAATGGCATTCTCACATGTACTTTTCGTGTTAAATTAAATTATGTTAACTGAAGGATGGAGTAGAGCCACACCATTTACATGTTTCCTATGTACATGCAATTTGTTTATTTGACGAGTTGTGTTATCTCTATTGATCGTACAGGTATTTTGATGTTTTTTTGCACTGAATTGATTTATCATGTTTTCCACTGCATTTATGATGTCTTGTGTATTTTGTTTTTATGAACTTGTTTAATTGCATTTGATTTGATTATCTGATTTTTATCATACCATTTGAGATGTCTTATTTATGTGTATTTTCTCTTGCATTTTATTGCTGTAGGTGATTTATTTTATGTATTTGTATGGCCTATGCCAGGGTTTTAGTCCCGTAGAAGGTTTCCCTGGCATGGTCTTGTGTGTGCGTTAATATATTTATTTGATCTTGTCATTTCTTACGCACAAAAGTTCTGTCTTTTATTTAATTCCCTTCCCGATTATGTCTCACGGCCCAACACATAAAAGAACCGATTACACAACGTAGGAGTCCATTCGTGCCACCCATATCGAGCCGACTGTCATCCAAATTCAAAAGTGCCGCGAAACTACCATCGTTTCGATTTGAAAGGTAGGTGGCTCTGCTTGTAGTTTTTGCCAGAGTTGCCAACCGTAAGTATAGGGTAAGTCAACGTTTTCCGTGTCGGCTTGATAGACCCCCCCTAGGAACATTACACAACATTCTTTCCTTTTATTGTCCGCACGTGAAAACAAATTACAAAAGCGCAAACTGTAAACGTAAAGACCGACAAAGCTTCGCGCCGACGGCGGCGGGCTGCTTGTGAATCGGGATAGAGTATCCTTGTCTTTCTAGTTTCTACATTATCTGCTTCAGTATGAAGTGAGGTGAAACGGTATGACGGTAGTTGTAGAGTAGAGTAACGTTTTTATTTCTCATTTTTTTAAATAAATGTTTAATACCAACTACCAGACTTGCATTATTTGCATACAGAATCCGACATGACTGTGTAAACTTGTGCATGCATTGTGTATTGAACGTTCACGGTTCGTAATAAACAAATCCTTACATGAGGATATAACGGGTTTTCTGTTTTTTGTCGACCTCCTACAGAATAATTGTGAATATTTTTCATATGCACAACGCTTGCGTATTTTTGCAGATTCTTATGCAACTTTACCACCATGACAATTATAAACATCAATACTTTTTTCCTTCCATGTACCTTTTTCCATGTCTCAACAGTACCTTTGACTACATTCAACTGGCAACGCTGGTTGTCGCCCGTGTGTACGAGCTGGTCGCGCAGCGCGGCAACTGCCGCCGCTGCAACTGTCGCTCGTGTGTACTTGCACTTACGTATATAAACAACAAAAAATGCTGCGTCCGCCATTTTGAAAGCAATTGAAAAGTTCTCAAAATTGATAAATTTGCGACACGTTTGCATCCTTTGCGTGCATCTCTTTGTTCTCCTGACGAATAATTTCTACAATTGTTTCCCTAGGGCACTATGTTTTTCGACAACGGCCATACCACGTTGAAAACACCGGTTCTCGTCCGATCACCGAAGTTAAGCAACGTCGGGCGCGGTCAGTACTTGGATGGGTGACCGCTTGGGAACACCGCGTGCCGTTGTCTCTTTTTTTAAATTTTTGCTGTTTGTCTATTGATTTTAGATTTTATTTTAATGTCACAAGGCAACATATAATTAATAATCTTAATTTCTAATTAAAATTAATTTAGTTTTGACGAAAAAACATATTTTTAATTTTTAACTTACATTTTTCTTGTTTTTTGAATACCGTAATAAAAAAATGTTACGTTGCTTTTTGAAAAAACAAGTTCGATGCCATTGTGGCGCTTCAACACTTGCCCTTTTCTTGGAGACATTCCCTTGGAAATTGGCAACGTACGTACGTAAGTACATAATATAGAAAGAAATAGTTATTTGGCTGCGAAATGATTGATGTACCGAGAGAATAAGATTTGGCCGAGGCTTACGCCGACATGCCACTCTGGGTAATTAAAAAGAAACAGTTGGAGTAGTAGAATTTGAAACATCTGAAGAAAGTAAGAATACGAAGACCTTGAGGTAAGTAACTGAAAAAATTAAAAAATCTTAAATTAAAGGATCAGCCGACTCTAAAGAACTTCAAGTCTGCATAATGAGAAGAAAAATTCAACAAAGTGGAAGCATGCGATGAATGTGAAGAATCTGATAAATTTTGACGAAGTGACACATGTTTAAGAGTTCAACAGGATCCGAAGAATCTAAAAAAAATGTGACAATGAAAGCCTGTTGAAGGCCCCGAACAAGAGGGACAATAAATAAAAAAATAACTAAACAGCAGAATTCGTAAAACTAGGAGGCTCAGAAAAATTTTACTTAATCCTCTCCAATACTTACCTGAAACAATAGAAATGTGAATTCATTTCCCACTCATATCTCAAAACATAGACCTTCCACAGGCACAAATATGTTTGAACAAGGCTCATGGAAACTTGACTGATTCAGGATCTAACTATAATGGCATAATGAAAATGTAGTACATTGGACTACAAAACACGCTAGTGTTAGATCGAATAAAATAGAAAATATTTAATAAATAAATGTTATTAAAATTACCTACATGTACAATAACTTACACTACATGAAATAACAAAAGTGACAATATGAAAGTTTTGATGCACTGTTTTTATATATTTCTTTTATTATTCACTTTCTGTATTTCCATTGTTTTCAGTTAGGTAAACAGGCTGAGCATTTGAATTTTGTTGAGTTACCTACAATATAGTAGTTTCAGTTCACCTAATCACCCCTTGAAGATCTAACCTGTATAACTTGTGGTTGAATTGTTTGTATGGGAGCTGCTTGAATGATGAGAGGTTGATTCGTATTACTCTGGAGTTGCATTCTGATCATTTGTAATTGTTGAGGGGTCAACTGAATCTGAAAGAAACCTTACGCATAACAATTTCTTAAAGAATGATAGTACTTACGGGAATTTGTTGTATTTCTCCCCCAGGAGTTACGATTTGTTGTACAATGTGAATATTTCCGTTAGAGGACTGTGGCGATGTGGGATTTTGAATAACCACAGATGGTTGTGCTGTCGATGTTGTAGTTGTTGCCGCCACGCTGGTGTTGTTCTTTAACAATGCAGCAATTGGCGAATTAAAATATTTAATTAAATCTCAAAAAACCTACCTGCTCTAAGGCATTCACTGGAACTGCTTGCACTTGGGGTTGTACGATTTGAATTGCGTTTTGTGTAACAGATGAATTTGTTGTACTGGCAGACGGTGATGTGCTGGGTTGCAGCTGTTGGAGTTGCTGTTGAGCTTGTTGAGCGAGTTGCAAATAATAATGAACCTAATCGACATTCCACTTAGAAATTACTCAAAATAATACCTATTTTATTACTTACCTGTTCAGAATTAACAGCAGGTCGTCCGCTTTCATCTCTTGGTTTATTTGGTTTAATATCATCACGTGGAACAATGTCGATAAGAAAATCAAATTGATCAAACTTCGTGATTGCCATGGCAATGTCATTCCGCTGCAAAAATGAAAAATAACTTTAACAACACAGGCACACCTTTCCATTATTGAGTTATTTCTAAACGTACTATACTGGAATTTAAACACCCTGTGTAGTGGGAACTCGCAATGGAATCTGTTTTTTAACCCTCCATTACGAAAATTGACTACTAAAGAAGAGTTTTTCTAAATGTGAATAATTCTTTGGACAAATTTTCTTGAGAAGGGCAAGGTGACATTTCCTGGCGGCCAATGTTATTTACAATCAGGGCGAGTACCTCTCTGCATGTGAAAATGTTATTGTCTATTAAATGTTTGTTAGTCTGACGTTGTAATACAATTGTACATTGTTTTTTACAAAAAATAAAAATGAAAAAAAATGAAAACTATGTTTAATGTATTGCTCCATATTGGAGTAATGAATAAACAAAACAACTACTTTTAGTATTTATACCAGCGAATATTTCGAGAATGAATACACCATGGAGAGAATATTGTAGCCAATGGCGGCTTGCAGTATAAATTTTAAAGTGTGCAATTTTAAAACAAAATGAAACTCTTATTCAATGCTTCTTGACAGAAACCATTCGCTTCCGACAGCCCTCTGGCACTTTACAGACCTAGGGCGACCAGGGTTGTTAGTCCGCCTCCGAGTATTAGGTATTGGTTTATAAAAGTTAGATAATTATGTTATAGTTAGTTATGTAGTATACCTACAGAGTGAGTTTTCACTACAGGGGTCTCATAAACCATAAGAGATATAAAGTCGCTTAAATCGATAAATTTATGCAGAATTTTATGCTGATTAAGTTTCCCTTTCAAAGTTTCGTGTCTCCATATAGCAAAGTTATGGGCAAGAAACCGAAAAATGCCAGTTTAGACGATGGTCCGGCGTTTATTTATTTCCAAAAATAACAAAAAGTAGTTTTAACAGACCCTTGGTGATCTTTTCTGTTTTCTGATGCTCAACTTTCTTATTTTTTATGCACGCCACATTGGATTTTTGTCACTCGATAGAGAAAAAATTACAAAATCGACAATACTAAATACTTAGTATTTAATTTGGAATGTAATGTTTGCCTTGCAATTTATAATGTATTTCTGATGGCAATAATTCCATGGGCGATTATGATTGAAACCAAATTCATTAGCTCGTTGACTTGCGTAGTCAACACCAACACGGCCATGGAAGTATTGCCATAAGAAATACATTGTAAAAAACACATCACCGTAATTGACACACGTACTTTTCCATCTTTGAACTACCTTTAATTATTTTATTTAATATCATCAGCACTTTGCTATTGGTATCAATATTTATAAATAGTACTTTTTTCGAATCGAACACATGAGAATAAAGTGAAAAGATTTAGACAGGTGCAGATTTATTCATTTGTTATTAAGACTTCAATTTCAATTTAATTCTTTCCCTTTGGCATACGACAGTACATAGGACGCGTCATACATAAAAAAACATTAAACTCACGTGACACAACATAGATAAGTTAAAATTATGTAAATAGGTATCACAGGTTCCGCCGTCCCTGTCCCTCGTGTTCTGCTGCTAAGCGTGGAAAATTACAAAATTACGCAAAACATTAAGATTCTAATACACACGGATGACAGTTGAGAAAGAAAATATTAAATGTTACGGCTATTATTAGATGTCGCTTTTGACGCTTCATGAATACAGACTCAATTTAGAACAGTGGTGGCACAAGGGTAACTCGTTTTTGATTGGTCATTGACTCCAGTCGCCATATTGAGGCTAAACTGCTATACTTTGGCATAGCAGTTTACACGTTTTTTGGTGTTTTTGCGAAATTCTGTGAATAAATGTGCTGCTTAAGGTAAAATGTATAATGTGGATATTCGTTTCTATTTAAAAACATAGTTTGGTGTGTTTAAAGTGAACAGAAATTAATTACGACAAGTTTGGTTTAAACCGAGGTGTAGTAGGTGAGTTATCCCCAATATGGCGAATGAGCGGGGCTGACGATAACTAGTCGCCACAGTCCTAATACAGACACTATTTATGAACGATCACATTGAATGAATGAGTAAAAAAATTGAAATTCCGACACATTATATGCACTATTATTTTTAATAACACATCTATTATAGAGCATTAAACGTCCAATTTAAATTATGATGATCAATAAAACATTGAGAATAAACGGAACATAACTTATCTATCTAAAACTAAAGACAAAAGATTGATTGAGAGCAATATTTTGGTTATAATTCTTTTTTTATTTATGGGTTAGCTTTCATATGTCCAAATTTTTGGGTGATTTTATACTCGAGGACTCCGTCCCCAAGCAAAGTATTTGATAAAGAAGTTTTGGATTTTTGGTTATTTTTGTAGGGTTAGGGTATTTTTTCTAATTTACATGTGTTGAGCAAGCCAAAAGCGAGCTCGGCATAGCTAGGGAACGCTCGTAGATTAAGCCCTCTATACCTACATTAAACAATTGTGAACTGCTATATTGGAAGCCGTTCAGAATATAACAACACAGCAACTAGAAAGTTTTTGAAAATTGGAAGCCATAATCGACCCCTGTCTCAATAATGAACATTTGAACACTTGTGTTTAGTATGCATGTGAACTGTTATTTTACCAAATTTCTTCTTCTGTACAATTCCAAAAATTATGGAAATGATTCAAGTTGACCTATCATTTATCAAGCATGTTAACTTTTTAGGTTATGTTTAGTATTGGTGCAGCATCTATTTATTGCAGCAATTAGTTACTAAAGTTTTATTTCCTAAAGGCCTGTTTAGAGTTTGCAACGGCAATATTTATTGCAGCAATAAATATTGCAACAAATAGCAAGTGTTTACAGTCTGCAATTTTCATTGCATAGTACCAACCCTATAACTTTAAATAAGTGTGTACAAAATATCTTCAATTTGTCATTGGCATGTAACTTGTTCTTCACTTATATATTTATTGTGCATTTCAATCAAAATGAACAACAGAGATATCAACACATTCAACACACTTCACATCCTTGGTGCCATAGTAATTCTAGATGTTGGCATTAAAAATTCCCTAAAATAGTCACCAGAATTGCAATTGCAATGCAATAAAAATCGTTCCGGATCTACTTCTGGCAACGCAATAAAAATTGCAACAGCTGATCGAAAAGTACACTTGCGCGCATGCGTGCAATAAATATTGCCCGCAATAAAACTTGCAAACTCTAAACAGGCCTTTTAAGAGTGGACCAGTAACTGTTTCTTGATCGCATTGTACAGAGGGAAATTGCACTACTTACTACTTTTTTTTACCTGAAGCAATTGTGAAAAACCTACAATATGTGTAAAGTATAGTAGCATTAATAATAGGTTGTAGATTTCTTACTATACAATATACAAGGTGCTTCCAAAAAAAGGGTCGGATATTTTATCCAGGTAGTCTCTTACTCTTAATAAACATAGGTCCGAAAAGAGAAGAGTTGATTTTATTCGTTAATTTAAATATTTTTGTGCTTCCTTTCAACAAAGATGTGCAGTCTGTGTGCAAATGGCAGGAGGAGACATTGACTGTTCAATTGTTTTTAATAATGAATAAGACAATACACAATCTACTATACCTTTGGATCACTTAATTTGCGGACTTCTTAAAACTTTTAGGGTTTCTTTTCATGAGTACTGTACAATATACCTGGATATCAGCCCTTTTTTAAGCACTCTGTATATCAAATTTCGGAAGACAATAAGTACCTGCAATGTTCTTCTTTTATTATCTTCAGTGTGCACCCAAGCTCTTAACGTTAACTCGTGAATAAATATTTCGGCTGCCTTTGCAAATAAAAGCGGTGCTTCTGCAGAAATCATTTTAACCTCATCGTCGAGTTTCATAATTTTTTTAATCCTTGCCAAGGGCAAAACTTGTTGCCGTAGATCCATCTAAAAATTCACATTATTGTACGCCAAATACAAACACTAAACCATGTATACAGTAGCGATTGCTTTAATTTCCTCCATCACTCTCGGCCAAAATTGTTGCAATGCCGCCTGTGCTTCGCTTTGTGACGAGATTTGATCATCCGACACTGTTTGCTGCAAATCGGATTTTTGGTCCACCTCAACATTGTCACCACTGCTAAAAGCAGGAAGAGATGATATTAAAAAGCCAATGAAGGCAACGTGTAATAATGAGCAATTGACTTACGCGTTTACGAAGAACACTGACATTCCGATTTCTGCTTTTACTTTTATTTATTATTAAATCAAATTGATTTCGTATTTCAAGTTTATTTTGTAACAAAATGAGGGCCAATCATGAAATTGTTCGAAATTATTCAGCCCAATCAAACGGCACAGTGAACTCAATAAACCATTCGTTGTCGACTACACAATTATCATTGCTACCAACCAACTAATACAAATTGAAATTGGAAACGATAAATACCACAAGACGTGTTAAAATTACCTACTTGTATTCAAACGTATCGGTAGATAATAAATAATAAATTAAAATGATTCATGCTATTTTTATTGTAATTGTGGGGTTATTAATTTATTGCAGAGAAAGCACAGTGGCGCAGCATGTTTTCATAGAAGTCGCACTCAGTGGCGTCGCTACTTTTGCCTTCTCCAAATTCAAGAAGCATATGTGTTATGTAAGTTGCCTATCGTTAGACGTGTAATTATTCTTGTATATTTTCAGTTGGCGGCGTGAAGGGTAATTCACAAAACTATTACGTTGTAGATCTAGACGATTAGATCTACGATTTACAATTAGCCGACACAGTATTTTCACCATCCTTCAGTATTTATCGCAAGATAAAAGTAGAAAAAATATAAGTAACCTTTTTTATTTGAGATACTCTAAACAGAAACAGCAAATTTCAAAACAGGATTCATAATGCAAATTTGTCACTACTCCTACGACTTGAGTTACCTTGAAGTCATTAATTTTCACATAAACAATTTCAAGGCCACACATCAGATTCACAATCATATCCAAAGAACGTAAAAAATCTGTATGTTCACTATGGCGGTAAAATACAAGTGCGATACAAGTGCGAGAATCCCGTTAAATCGTACAGTTGTAACTGTAACGCTTACACAACAGCAAACCTACTTATTATAGCATGGAGCACGTGCTAACAAAGGGCGCGAAATCATCACAAACACTAACCTACCCTAACCAGCAGAGGGCACCAGCGAAGAACCTGATACTTCGTATAGGGACAAACCTGCGTGAATTGCGGAGATGAACATCCCGCAAACTACAAAGGATGCGAGAAATTTTCGCACCTTCTTTCGAGGCGGCCGAGAGCGGCCTCATAGCGGTACGAGCTACGCGGCGGCAACAAAGATACGGATGCGGAAGTATCCGCCGCTGCCAGTACCTGAGGCAGCGAATCTGGACCTCCGGCCAACGGCAAGTACCCAGTCGATTTTGAACCTCCTGGCCAAATTCGATAGGGAGAAAACCATACTTGTACTTCGGATGGTCGCGGAAGCCCTGAAGAACGTCAAGTTGTTGGGGGTCATCTTCGAACACGGTCAAGCCTCATTAATCTGTTCGTGTAACAATGGGCATACGGAGGACGGTGCCACTGGTGTCAGCCTCGCTGCAGATATCCTTCTGTAACGCCAACGGACAAATTGGGTAAGCGCCAATAACCCCGAGAACTCGCACGCCTTGCACATAAACGTTATCGAAACACCGCCACTTCAAAGCATAGAGGCCACCGTTGTGTAGGTGCAAACGCCGAGTGCGGGTCAATTGAGTTCGTATCGGCGTATAACCCACCCGCATGCCCCTATTGCCCAAAGATCTGAATGCGCTCCTAAACGAGGATGTAGCCACTGTCATCGCCGGGGACGCGACACGAAGGATTCCTCCTGGTTCTCAATAGTTACGCTTAGACGTCGCCGTCCTGAAAGATGCCATGATGGCCTGGGACCATAACCCCATTCTCGTAGAATTCGGTAAACGAAGACGTCAAGAACCTCGAAGCAGTGGCCGACGAGTTTTAAACAACTGGTGAAAGCTACCCTACAAAACGCCACGAAATCGCTTGGAGAGTGCAGAGACTATTACTGCGTTCCAGGTTGGATCCGGAAGAAGAACTGTAATGGCAAAATGGCAAGAGATAACCAAGTCATAGTAACTAAAGCGAACAATAAAACTTTGGGTAAATTTGAATGCGAAAAACATGAAATCGGAACCAAACTAAGGAAATTTTTAACAGTTTTTAAATTATCGATTTGAGTGCACTCAATTTTTGTACGTTTGTCCATTTATATGTAGGTGAGTCCATCTTTTTGACTTGTGTAAAACTGTTATAGCACCAATTAATTATTAGCATTATAACCCGGAGCCTGGTTCTAATTATTGTCTCCTTTATTTTTAACTTAAGTATATTTCACTGATTTAAAATTTAAATAATTTACTTGTTGTTCATAGTTTAAAATTGAGTGTTAATTCTGAACTGCCTTCGTCTCGTTCACTTTGACGTAATTATCGCTTGCTATGTGTTTTTTGTTTCAATGCTAACTTGGATGAATATAAATAGTGCAATTAAAATTAGTATTTTCGCCATATCTCTGCTTAGGAAACAGACATCAAAATGCGGTTTTCACTGATATTTTACATACACGCTCTTTACCGTCGCGGAACTCGTAGCAGCAGTCTCGTTTTTACATTGATTCCAGTATTTAAGGGAACGCCACTTCTACTGTAAAATAATTTCCTTTACAAAAATTTTCAAATAACTCGCCACAACGGAACGCGCTGAACGTTTCCACTTTCACCAAACTAACGCGCAATTCTTCGAAACACCTTGCTCCCAACAACGGTAAGAACATGTGCGTTAATTAAATTTCCTCCGATAAAAAGTTTCTATCGTAAACGACCAGATGTCCTTACATTTTAACATGCAAATTTGACCAGATGTGTCTAACTTAAATTGATGAATTGAATAGTTTATAAAAGCAATAACATTTAAACAAGAAAATAATACGCAATTACAAACAATTCTAAAAGAAAAAATAGACACCGAAATAAAAATTCAAATGCAATAAATCAACTTTGTGCTTATTCGTAAATAATCTCCCAGATTTACAATTAATAAATTGAAATATTCGCATATATAGACTGATTTGGATATTATCGTTATAACTTGAAACTTATAGGAAGCAGTTGCCGACAGCGTCGTATTTGCGTGCTTTTACAATATAATTAAAAAGTACGTACGTACAATCCAATATATATAATGCATTATTTCTTCAGAACGTTCATTTAATATGAAATGGAATTCAGAAAATATGACCATGAAGATGAGAACGGTCATAATTTAAAGGAGAAGTTTTCGAATTCTCATTTAAAAGCTTAGCTTCTGACCTCATTACCAATGGAATTGAAAGATTCTATATTAGATTCTCTTCTTTTACTTATATATTAACATTCTAGAACGTTTCAGTGCTAATGTGCAGTCTAACGTTCTCAAATATTTTTAATGAACTTGTTTGCAAATATATGGTCTATTATATACGTCTGGAGTGAGAGGGAATTGAATAAAGCATAATAAAGTTGACAGTATTCGCACACGTTCTTTGCTCTTTATGGGTTTTCCGCGTCAAAGTCCTTTTACTGTGCTATTGGAATGTTATTAAGACTGTGGTTGTAGATATACGAATTACTTATTCGTTTTTTATACACGCAATGCTTGAACGTAATATTCTTATTTTCCACTATTAGGCTTCATAAAAATGTAATATTCAGTTGATAATCTCCCTTTTAATAATAACACACCTACGACTTATTAGATTCCAGGAGCACGATTTTACGATGGTAAAAGTAAAATTTACAGTTAAACGAGGTTTCCCTCTTATTGAAAGGAGATTTGATGAAAAGTGCCGTTTCAGTCAGTTTTTATGATACCATTTGGCAAATCACATATTGCCACATTTATTCTCTATTTATAAACCCAATCTGTTACGTGTCCTCCAAACTCGGGAACTTACAGCAAAACCTCAACAGTTTTCCAAATATTTCAAATTTCTAGACGAAAAGTCTAGGTGTAAATTTGACATTTTTCCCAAATTGAAAACAAAAATATTCATTTTCAAAGGGTCATTACATATAAGATCATCCATCAATTGCACACTGATAAATAATTAATCCCCACTCACAGCAGGTAAATTATAGGCTAATGCTTGTAACGTACAAAGAAAAATATATCCAAAGACTACAATGCAAAAATCAAACCTAATTCCAATTAATTCGCGCTAGCGATAAAACAAAGATGGATAATTAAATCAACACATATGACATAACCTAAAAAGAATCGTGTTGACAAAGAGGAATTCTCTAAAATTAACTACTTAAAAAGGATTACAGCCCCACCCCCACTCGCGTGTAAAGACGCTTAGATAAATAATTAAAAAAAATTTAGCGCGACGACTCTGGGAATGTTCCACTAAAGCAACATTTTTCGCAAAGATCGACCTGTCATTTCAACGACAAAAGCAAAAGTGATCTTTCTCACTATTAATGGTGCCAACTACTCCATGCACACTTGCATTCAGGCAATCACCTAAACCAAGAGTACCTACATTCAACGAAACAACGGGACGTTACATTACTTACCTTAAATGTCCAACACTACCCTACTCTCCCTATACAACAAGTTTCATTTCACATTGCCGCAACGCATGTAATGCTGAACCAATACAAAACAGAACCTCTAAATCTAATCCTCCTGTCACTTCCCGTTTGATCCATTTATTTCCACAACCATTGGTCTACATTATCTTTTCGTTTTACAAAACAATCTTTGTCAAGGCTACGTATTTGCAATTACAATTACAAGATGGGTAAATTACACTTTAAATCAAAAATTAATTTTTTATCGTTTTAGATTGTAATATTCTGCAACTGTGTCATGCCCTTTACTTTGGAAGAAAATAAGCTGCGTTTGGAGAAACGAAGTTTGCACGTATTCGACTCGCCTGCGCATATCCTGAACATGTCGTTGATTACGAGAACTTACACCGCCACATTCTTCGTGTAGTTAAGCGATTTGACGATACAGGAAGTGTTGCTTGTGGAAAATCCCCTGGTCGCCCAACAGTTGCTAATGAAGCGTTAGTGCTCGTCTTGAATAGAGCCCGCAAAAGCCACTGCGACCGCTATCCCAACAAACAAAATAGTCTTAAAAAAATAGGGCAATGTGATATAAACGATGTTGCCTCGCAAAAGCAGCCATACTTTTTGGATGGAACGTGGGTATTTGAAAATGGATCAGTATGTAAATCATGGCAAGACGACAGTTCAAAAAGCGTAAGAAAATCTAATCCCAAAGGACGCAGGTAACATACTGGTGAGAACGAGATAATCTTACAACAACTATTTAAGATATGCGGCTTTATATGCCGGAAACATGAATGGTTTTATTTCTGGAGCATCGATAATTAATGATCGAGATCACAATGGGGAATTGAACAAAGACAGTTTTCTTAAGTGGTTTG